TAAGATTAGTTTCTTTATATTTTATATCTTTTAGTGGAATCAATCCAGAAATAAACTTATAGAGGTTGGTTCTACCAATCTTGAAACTTTACAAAATATTTCTAAAATTCCACATACGTCTAAGGTAAATTATAATAAAATAATAATCTTTTACATTTTATTTATTAATATATAATTATCATTATATAGATACATGATGTACCTTTATTAGAATGTAGTAAAATTTGTATTCAACAACTGGTAAATGAATTTGAACCAGAATATGGTGGTTTTAGTTCGACATACATGCAATCACCAAAATTTCCACAGCCAGTAAATTTTAATTTTTTATTTCATATGTATGCACGTCAACCTAATGAGGAATCTGCACGACATTGCTTGCATATGTCTGTATATACTTTAAAAAAAATGTCTTTTGGTGGTATCCATGATCATGTAGGTCAGGTAGGAATTTTAATTGTCAGATATAATTACAGATATATTCTAATTAACTATCAAAAACATTTTGTAGTAATGTTTATTATTCTGAAATAGGGTTTCTCGAGATATGCTACTGATAGCGAGTGGCATGTCCCTCACTTTGAAAAAATGTTGTACGATCAGGGTCAATTAATGAAATCATACGCAGATGCCTATCTTGCAACAAAAGATAATTTTTTTGCCGAAATTATTGATGATATTGCTACATATGTAATAAGAGATCTTCGACATAAGGTATTGTATTTATTCTGTTTTGAAAATTATATGACTACTTACATTTATTTTACATTTATTTATTTTATGATTTTTTAGGCAGGTGGATTTTATAGTGCTGAAGATGCAGATTCTTATCCTACATATAATACACATACGAAAAAAGAGGGTGCTTTTTATGTGTGGTCTGCAGCAGAAATTAAGTCACTTTTGAGTAAAGAAATTTCTGACGGAAGTCATGTTAAATTTTCAGATATTTTTTGTCATCATTTCAATATAAAAGAGTCTGGAAATGTAAAATCATATCAAGTATGCTATATATTTTTTCTTATTTTTATATACTATACTATATATTTTTTCTTATTGTACTCATATATTAACTTTTACTTTATATATATATATATATA